ATCCCCAGTCAGCACAGCAGGTGGTGAAGGCTTCTGGGAGTTGCAGTCCAAAACTCCTGAGTAACCCAAGGTTAAGAACCAGTGACCTAAACCACTGAGCTATCCAGGTAGCTAAAAGAAACAATAAAACAAATTTCAAAAAGTTAAAAAAAAGGATGAGGCTATGTTGATCTATTGAAGTAAAACAAAACTGAAAACTAAAATCCGCAGCCGGGCAATTGTGTTTTTTTTTAAGATCAATTGCAAATGCATAAAATATGCAAGCTTTAAAGAATTCTTAGTCAAGCTAGATGATAAAAAATTTGATACCTGCATACCTGTCCAACTGATCAAGCTACAGATGATCAGTCAAGTACATTTATCAATATAGCTGCCTCCTAATACACTTAGGATTGGGTGTGCCTCTTTAATAAAATGCTGTTGTCTATGACCCTTATCTGACTGACTCTCTCTGTCTGTGATTTAACTCTTCTGTTGAACCGTTTACGGGCAACAGCAGTTTTGAATAGAGAAAACACCGAAAAACAGTACAGAGTGACAACCTAAACCATCTGAGCTGTCCGTGATGGATCAGGAAAGAGATCTTGATGTGCTGGTGGACAGTTCAATGAAAGTGTCAACCCAGTGTGTGGCAGCAGTGAAGAAGGCCAATTCCATGCTTGGTATCATTAAAAGGGGGATAAATAATAAAACAGCCAACATTATAATGCCATTGTACAAAATGATATTACGTACAGTTCTGGTCGCCGCACCTCAAAAAAAGACACAGTAGGACTTGAAGAGGTGCAGAAGAGAGCAACTAAAATGATGACTGAGCTGGGGCACCTCCCTTAAGAGGGAAGGCTATAGCGTTTGGGGCTCTTTAGTCTAGAGAAAAGGCGCCTGAGGGGGGACATGATGGACACGTATAAAATTATGCAGGAGGTGGATAAAGAGGATAGAGGGAAACTCTTTTCCATTTCACACAATACCAGAAACAGTGGACAAAGAGTGTTGGGAGAGTGAGAAAAGACAAAAGAAAATAGTTCTTTATCCAGTGTGTTGTTAGTCTATGGAAACCCTTGCCATGGAATGTGGTGATGGCATCTGGCTTAGATGCTTTTAAAAGGGAATTGGAAAGATTTCTGGAGTAAAAGTCCATCACAGGTTACAAGCCATGATGGGGATGTATAATCCCCAGGCTTAAAAGGAAGGTACCTCAAAATGGCAGATGCAGGGAAGTGGTATCAGGAGATAGGTATCTAGTTGCCTCGTGTGCTCCCAGAGGCATCTGGTAGGGCCAGTGTGAGATACAGGAAGCTGGACTAGATGGGTCTTCGGCCTGATCCAGCAAGGCTCTTCTTATATTCTTATCACAGTAGGTATCAAGGCAAATTGCTGCTAACACGAGATCTGTGAAGGACAGGAGGACAAGAGTGTGCCATCTCCTCCAGAAAACAAGAATACTAAAGGGGAGAGAGATGAGAGGGAAATGGCAAAGGAGAAGGAAGACCAGGAAAGGGTTAAAATAGAGGTGTGCCTGTCAGAAGAGGGGAAGATGAAAGGGGAGAAGCAATGAATAGATGTATGGGAGGAGGACATAAAAACTGGAACAGGAGCACGGGAAGAGATTTTCCGAATAGAGACAGGGAAGAAAGAGAGAGAGGAGAAGAAGCAGGAGTATGTTAGTTACTTGCTAAAAGACTTCCCCAATTTGAAGGTTGGTGGCCTATTGCCAGACCCAGTATCGGGGAGAGAAGGAGTTACCATTAAAGAAACCACAGAATGGACAGTAGTGGTGTACCCGAGGGGACACGGTCCCTGGAAGAAGGTGGTACAGCCAGATTCCACCTTCAACAAGCCACCCCCAGAGGGGGATTGGGCTTGCCATCTGTGCTGCGGCACTATTATGCGCAGTAAGGAGCTCACCTCTGAGAAGACCCAATGACAAGGAGAGATTTGGACCGGCACCCCAGTTTTGAGGGGAGACTCTGGTTATGACGATAGAATAGATGGACAGTTAAACAATTGGGACTTGTTCATTTCCACAGAAGTTATTGATACACCATTGTTGAATTTGAATAAAAATTGTTATGGGTTGAACAACTCGACTCCACCTGTTTCCGCGCCAAAATCGGGACCGCCTAAAACTCCTAACGAACCTTTTGACAAGGTCTCTTAATCCTGCTCCCCAAAACACAGCTGAAATACCTCCTGCAATTGAGAACATTATCAGGTATACGACTGACATGTTCTGCTGGACCTTACCAATTAGCTGCAATTAGCAAGTTCCACAAACATGAATGAGTTTAGAATTAGTATTGCAACTGGAGCTGGAACCTTCCCCCATGAGAAATTTTTGATAATTCTTATTCAGTTTGATGGAAAACAATTCCTTTAAATGAAATCTCAAAGAAGGAGAAATTACAGTAAAATTCTCATGAGCAAGAGTCAGGATTCTTTTCCTTACCTTGTTTCCGAATTGGCTCAAGCATGTACATGCATGTCTTGTCTTGCACTCTGAAAATTACTTCTGTGGCCGGGAGCAACCTTCCACCTATCCCAGTTTCCAATGCTTCAGGCAAGGTTCAGTAAAAGATTTCACAGGATAATTCCTTCTGTAAGGCTTCTTCAGATCATGAAGTGGGGACAGTGAGGGAAGCAGCAGGGTTATGAAGAGATGCACAAGTGAAAGAAAAAATGCAGCGCACTCAAGCACCCTGCAGTGTGGTGGAAACCCCGAAACATAATCAAAATGAACTCTAAAGGGTCCTGGGAAACATTAGCTTCCCAAAGCTTTTCCTGAATCTGGACCAAACACTGCCCTCTTTCATACCCGCTAAAAAGCTTACACAGAATCTGCAACAAAGGTACCCTTAATAGGAAGTTCTGGCGAAGGTGTCAAATCCTGAAGAATGACATATATCGAGCCCCCTTACTGTCCTAAAAATACAGGACTATTTTTGAGTGGCTCCTTCCCTCCTAGCCATACCCGAGAATGACATTTGGTAGAGGAAACTGGAGAAAGCAAAATGGTTGTTGCCATTTGCTGTCATGGTAATAATCATCATGTGCTGCCAAATCAATTCTGACTTACGGCGATCCTTTTAAAGATTCCCCATGTAGAGAATACTCAGAAGTGGTTTACCCTTCCCTTTTTCTCGGGGGCATCCTGGGACTGTGTAGCTTTCCCATGGCCACACACGTGAACTCTACTCACAGGAGGGCCAGTGGGGAACCAAACTCTCAACCTCTGGCTCCACAGCCAGCCAGTTTTGCTGTCGTGGTACAGAAAACCAAAGTCAAACTTTCCTACAGCCATTCCTAACGGTCACCTCTAACCATCACTTCTAAGCCACGGTTTGAGAATTTCTTCATCCACATATCCAATTTTTCTAAACACACACAGGGTAGAAAATTTTGAATGACTATTTGTAAACTACCTACTTATTTCCAGATAAATAGCTGTGTTTACCTATCTCAGCAGATTTTTTGCTATTAACTAGTAATATGGGGGGGGGGGAACACCTTGTTGAAGAACCAGAGGGAAGAGGACAAAGAACATAACTTGGAAGTGTCAATATACATAGTGGTTTACAAAGTTATTGTGGTACTGATCAAACCACTTGTCTTTCCAAAACTATGTGATCTCTTTGGATAATAACCAAGCTTCCTTTCTTCAACAGAACACGTAGATTTACTTAGGAATAGTTCTTTTCCAAGTCATGAGTGTGTGTTTGGGGGCTGGTGGGTAAATAAGAGTCTAGGCATGGCATGGGCAGCCTAAGGTGAAAAGTACTCCCCAGTTGCACTTAACCCACTCTTTTATGCAAACTGCTGATACACTATTTATAGGGGAAAAGGTGAAAAGAAATACAAATTGGTGTACTATAATGAGTAAGATCTGGCCACAAGCAAGAAGTCTACAGTCTTTTAAACCTCCCAAGGGAGGCAACTGTGTCAGTCTGTGGCAGCAAAACAAACAAACAAACAAACAAATAAACTCCAAGAGTCCCATGGCACCTTTAAGAATGACAAGATTTATTTGGCTGAAGCTTTTGTGGACCACAGCCCACTTCTTTAGGTGCAAAGTGGTTGTGGGAGTTGTGGTCGGTTCTGACTATGTTTAACTTTAGTATATGTTGGTCTTTTTCTTCACTTTTCTGTAGAAAAAAAATCTATAGGAAAATTATATGAATTCAGTATTTTATGATTATTTTTGTTTCCCAGAAACGTGACCACGCCCAAGAAAGAAAAGTGCACCAAGACAGAACTCAAATCCTAAAGACACACAATGGTGTTATTTGGAGGATACAGTAGATTTACACCCACTGGTTACACACACAGCTCTTCAGACTGTGCACGAACAAACCACGGGAGATTTCTCGTAGCCCGATTGTACCCTTGCTAACGCGAAAGAAATTCTCAAAGAGCTTTCTTGCTCTCAGATGCGATGCGCACGGGATGGGGGTGGTGGTGCTAAAGGATGATGTGCTAGGTTGCCCAGTTTTTACGACCGTACTCTTGCATGTCAAGGCACCTTCAGAAAACTCATCAGAACAAGCACGCATTTGGGGGGTGCTGTCGGGACGCGCCCTGAGAAAAGCGGGTCGCCGTCCATAAAAGCTTATCCCGAAGAAACCCGCCCAAAGCGCCCCAAGATCCCTGGGCTGCTTGTGGACCCGCTCTGCAGGGTCCATCTGCGATTTCCCCCCCCCCAATGCGCCCAGCCCAAGCCCCCTGTGACCCGAGATCGCGGCGATGACGCCCCGCCTGGCTCTCCCTCGGCTTTCACTTTCCATTCCTTCCTCGGCTCTTTCCGCTCCCCTCCCGAGCTCAAGTCGAGCTTCCAAGTCCGCCCGGCCGCTGCGTTCCGAGACGCAGAGGGGGGGGGAGCGAAGCACGAGCGCTTCTCAGAACCTGATTGGGCGCCACGTTCGCCTCACCCGCCTCCCTCGTTTAGCCCAACGCCTCTTTTCGGCTCCCCGCTTTGCCCGGCTTCGGCTCACTTGCTTACGTTACCGGGGCGTATTGCGCCACCGCGTGACGTCAAGGGGGCGTTGCCGATGACGTTTCAGAGTCACTCCAGACAGCTAGCCCGCTGGAGGGAGGCGGAGGAGGGGCAAGATGGCGGACCAAATCCCTTTGCACCCGGTACCGCGTAGCACACAGCGGAGGGCGGCTTATTATACCAACGCCTCAGCCGCACAGAGGCATAACAGGTAACGGGCTGGAAGGCAAAGGAGAGAAGATGGGGTAGAGGGCAGCAACTTGGGACCAGAGGTCTCCTGGAGGCGTGGAGGGGGATGGGATGGATTATGTTGGGCGCCTCCCAGGCTGAGAGGAACGAAGGGGCTGCTCTTTCCATGGCTCCCTCCAGACACCGGCCGCTGAGTCGCTGAGATATCCGGTCCCTCACGAAGTCTCAGGGTCTGGTAGAAAAGGGGCAGGCCCTTCGGATGGTAGATACTTTGGAGAAGGTGCTTGGCAGCTTGCTTTAGTTGGAGATTGGCAGGGTGGTGTTACTCCTGTAAGGTTGTTACTCCTGCTGTTACTCCCCTCTTCAGTGGGAGTACTGCTGTCATCGCAGCCCACCCTTTGGTGAGTTGGGGAGTGCACCCTCATTAGCTGTAGCTCATCCCGTTGGTGTCTAGAACCAGAGCCTAAAGTGCAGAAGTGGACTTCAGACTTGGTAGGACTCTCCTCTGGAACATCTGAAATTATAATAAAACATACAGGCCTTTTTTCCATTCAGAATTCATCCTCCAGGAATAAAGGGCACAGGACTTTTAGCACAATGTGCCACTTCTTGGAAAATGTGATGTGTGGATATTTTCATCTTAGACTGCCCTGCTGCAGAGACCAAAAAAACACTGATGGTCTTTCCTGCACTTTAGATGTTTTAAGGAAAGTGCAAAGAACAGACTCAAACTAAAATGTAGTAATTCAAGCTATCAGATTTTTCCTGTGAAAAGATTAGTTTGTAAAAGGAGACATCATTAAAAGTGTCATTTAATGTTCAGCCTCATTGTAGGAGGCAAAAGTGGAGTTTCCAACCTTTATTTAATTTATAAGAATTGTTCTGCTATGTATTACTCATTCATCATAAAAGAAAGAGTGTATTGATCATGGAAATGAAACAAAATTTAAAGGTGGTCAAAATCTTTATTAGAATTAGCAGTAAAATTCACTAAATATGCAAACTTTCAAGTTTCCTGAATTCTTCCTCAGGCTAGCTCCTAGAAATATCATCTGGAGGAGAAAGCCTCACAAGTTCAAGAATTTGGCAAAATGTTCTAAAACATGGAGATTTGCAGTCAATTTCATTTCTAAGGTGGAAGGCACAGCAATGTTAACATAGAATTGTACTTGCATGAATCTGTTATTCATCAAATTTACTTTTTATCTGAGGACTGGGGTTAATTGAAAGCTTGACTATTTTATGAATTTACAGTTTTAAAACAGGTGGTCCTGTTAGTCTGTGCTAGCATATCAAGCAAAAACAAAAGAAAACATATATAAAAAGACAAAAGTCTTGCACTTAACGACTAACTGCTATATTTTAATGTTAGCTTTCATGAGCAAGACCACTTCCTCAGACTCATCCATGAAAGTTCACATTAAAATATAGCAGTTAGTCGTTAAGGCTCCACAATGTTTTTGCCTTCTTTGTTTTTTATTTTTTGTCTTGTTTTTTGTTTTTGTCTGTTATGAGTTTATAGTTGATTAATTATGCCTATCTTTGAATTTTTTACCCCAGATGTTTCTACCTTGTCTTTCAGACAAATTCCCAGGAGTTGGAGGGGGGCATTTGTTGGAGAGGGGTTTTTAACATACCGGAACTCATGAGTCTTCAGAATTGTGTTGAAATTACTCCCAGCTAGATTGCAAGCCAAAAGTTTGGGGTGTGATGCAAAGTTCGGAATGTCATGAGAGAGTATTTCCTGAGGAAATATATGGGAGGGGTTAAATGCTTTACTTCCTACTTCTAATTGCCTCTCTATACAGTGGTGCCTCGCTAGACAGTTACCCCGCATGACAATTTTTTTGCTAGACATTGACTTTTTTGCGATCGCTATAGTGATTCGCAAAACAGTGATTCCTATGGGGGAATTTCGCTGGACAATGTTTGGTCCCTGCTTCGCAGACTGATTTTTGCTAGACAACGATTTTGACAGCTCCCTCCACGCTCGCAAAACGGGTGTTTTCGGGACTTAAACATTGCAAGACAGCGATTTAAACAGCTGATCGGCAGTTCACAAAGCGGCTTTCCTATGGCTGATCTTCACTAGACCATGATAATTCTTCCCCAGTGGAACACATTAAACAGGTTTCAGTGCATTCCAATGGGGAAATGCTTTTCGCTAGACAATGATTTCAGTGGAACGGATTATCATCGTCTAGCGAGGCACCACTGTATTAAGTTGGCAAGTACTGGTTAAGAAAATGTTGTGTCCAGGTCATAGAAGCACAAACTGGTGTTTGTGAAGCCATTGTAAGGTCTTCTGTTTTCTAAAACTGACAATTTATTATCTTACCAATTATCTTGTTGATCTTATCTGACCTGGACATGGAAAGATTGGCATAGAAATCACAAATCTTGGCTGGCCTTGGTAACTAGCCAGAATGACTACACCTATCAGATTCAATCTCTCCAAATATTGGAAGGAAGGATTGTCTCTGACATCATTGTGAGCTTGAAACATCCTTGAAAATGATTAAAGCTGTAGAAGCTAACCTCTGTCATCCTCACCCACTTGGAAACAACATTTGAGGACCTGGAATGGGTTTTAGCAGAATCACTTCTTATCCAGAAAGTAGCAGAAATGGAGCTTCTGCCAAATTCTGCTAAGATTCACAGATGTGCTTTTAATATTTGAATCTTGCTTCTTCTTACAAACATACTAGTAATGATTATTTTATGTATTTATGTACATATACAGTAATAGCTAACCAAAGTTTTTTGTGTTATGTGCCATCCAATCAGAACTGTCTGGTAGCAACCTTAATAGGACTTTCAAGGTAAGGGGGAGATATATAAGACATGATTCTCCCCATCCAACTCGTTCAGTGACTGAGTGGGAATTTGAAACCAATTCTATTGAGTCATTCCATCACTGCACCTACTACATCACTCTGGTTCTTAAAGTTCTTTTAGGTGGTGTAGAATATATTTAAAATATGGTAAAACAAAATGTCTAGGACAATTCAGGTTGCTATTGCTGTTTCTGGTGTGTTTTTATTATTATTTTTGTTTGAGAGCTATAGGTATATGTTACAATGTGTCCTTCTGCCATATTACATACAGTTTCTGTATTGAAAGATCTTGAATGTTCATCACATAAGAAGGTCTTTCCACTAAGGAAGTCCCCAATAGTGTATTTGTCCTTTAAGATATGGACAGATTATGGAGTCTGAGAGAGTAGTTCATTATCCTTTTATAATATAACCTGGGTGAGAATGTTCCTTCAGATATTGTAAATGTGAGACGACCTGTTATGCTGCAATTTCTTACATACTTATGTGGGTATGAGACCCGTTTAACACATCGAAACGTCCTGCTGAATAGACTTGTGTAGGATCACTATGTTAGTTTTTATTTAGGCCCTGGTTTACAGGATCACATTTCTGAACAAAATTTGTTTTTGCTGACATTCCCATCTGCTTGCTAAAATGTTTACCTCAGATCAATCATATTTCATAAAAGGGATAAAATTTTGTCTATAATAGGCTTAGATCCATTTACCTTCTGTCCTCCCAACCCACAAACATTAAACAATTAGGTCTGTTAGATTCCTGACACTGCTAACTAATTTGAATAGGCAGATGCAATAACCTCAGATTTATCTGCTGACATTATTTTATGTTATGACTGTCAGTGAAAGGGGAAAATACAGTTTTGGGTGAGCTCCACATGTTGTGTTTTCTTTTTTTGACAAGATCTTTTTAAATTAATTTATATTTCTAAAGAATGAAAAGACAATCCACCATATTATAAATAATAAATACAAAGCTATTCCCCACAATTCTCCAAATCACATTTATACCATTCCCCATCACCTTTTAAAGAAATATCGACCAACAATCTAATTTTTTTTTCAAACCACATGTTTCAAAGTCTATTTTGTTGACATATTTTAATAATGGCTTCCAATTTTCAGTGAATTTACTGTGGCTTATTTCTCCTCTGTGTAATCTAACTTTATTAGTCATTTTTTCCATCAGCATTGTATGCCATATTTTACTCATGAATGCTTGCAATGAGAGATCTTGGGCTTTTCCCAATTTCTAGCCATTTCAGATCTTGCGGTGCCTATAATATTTGCAACTAATTCTTTATTTTCTAGTTTCTCATTTCCCCCTATGAATAATGAAAATAACAATAATGTTTCATTAATATCTATTTTTTTATTAGTCAGTGTCTCTATCCATCAAATTACTTTGTGCCAAAATGCTTCTATTTTGGGGCAAGAGATCCACATATGTTCCAGAGTTCCTTTTTGTCCACAGTTTCTCCAACATTTATCAGATATATCTTTATTAATTCTATTTAGCTTTGTAGGGTATAGATGCCACCAATGCACTACCTTCAGAACCATTTCTTTCACATTTGCTGATATAGATTTATATGGGTATTTTTTCCA